TTTTTTTTTTTTAGGAGTGATTGCCTTATTCACACTACCGAAGGTCTATGAGACAAATAAGGCACAAATTGATCAGAATCTAGCACTGGTGCAAAGCAAAATCAACGAGCTCACTGCTAAGTAAGTGGAATTCATCGACATAACTTCAATATTTAAATTTTAATTTTACACCTTTTAGAATATAGAAAAAAGAATTTTATCTTCAACAATTCTAAATTATTCCATGTTAACTGAACTAATCACTACGAATAAAATGTTTTAGTTGTATATATTTTCTTTGTAAATATTTTTATGTAATTGTAAATAAAGTAAAATGTCGACTGATTATCCATAAGGTTGTGAATATTCAACTTTGAAAGGAGCGTATGTTCCCTCTGTAATCAGCCATTTGTTGCATAAAATATTAACGTTGCTTCGTGACGAATATGCCATTGATGGCTCCCCTTGATGTAACTGGCAATTATTGCGGTGGTGTATGTAGATCACAGTACAAGACCCATTAAAATATTATTTTGAATTTAGTTCCCTGTGTTAAGCAATATAGGGGACAATTCGATTCCCTTATACTTTATAGATTTACATTTGTATACATATTGTACTCACATTGATGAATTAGAATTAGAAAATTAACATTTTACATTATTATCGAAAAAAATCGGGTTTAAAATTTTTTAAAACATATATATTTTATATCGTTTCAGAGTGAAAGCTGCGATACCGTTTGGTAAGAAGGAGCCAAAGAAGGAAGAATAAATTTAAGAATATATCATCACGCGGGGACAAAAGAAACTTAAACGAATTTGTCGGACAGTTACGAAATCCATGCAGGAACGGAACAAAGAATGATTGCGTGACAGAATCCAAAAGATTATTGCAAAGAGCAAGATGAAATTAAAAAAAGAAGATATGCGAGGAAGAATGATTGCGTGACAGAATCCAAAAGATTATTGCAAAGAGCAAGATGAAATTAAAAAAAGAAAATATGTGTGGAAGAAAGAATGATGGCAGGGACATATTTATCGAAGGAAGAAAGTAAACAACAAAGGAAACATGACAGTAGATGTAACAGCAGAAAAAATACGATGAAAACATATATGAATATTATAAATACCACAAAAACGAAAAATATAGAAAAATCAAGTTCTTAGCATTGTACGGTTTAAAGTAACGGGATAATTTTTTTAATTCTGAATTTCCTATGTACCAAGAAATAAAAAGCTAAAAAAAAAGTAGCATCTAATAGAAGTATGGCTTGCAAAGAAACTGTAATGGAAATGCATTGAAAAAATATATATATATATAAAAAGAAAGAAAAATGAATTTAGATAAAAGGAGAAATAGAAAGGCGGCGGAAACGTGAATAAAAACCGCAATGGAAAAAGAACCTTTCTTTAAAGAAAGAGAATAACGAAGGAAGTTCACGGAGCTGACAAGGAAAAGAATAACTTTTCTCAATGCTTTCGAAGTTCAGTAGCTGGATTTCAGTGTCCGACGATGTCGTAACGCGAGTTTTCCTTTTCTGGATCTATACAAGCTGTCCCTGTTAATCGAAATAAACGGAAAAAAGTAACATTTAGCGATTATGTTAATTCGTTGCGACACGAGAGGCGAATAGAGCCCTTTGATGTACTCTATGCAAAAAACCATGAATGGTGCAATGCGTGTATCTCTTAGGGGGTTCCCGGTTTTTCTTCCCTTTTTTTTTCCGTTTTTTTCCTCGCACTCCCACACCAATCCGAACTGATCTTTCTTCTTTAAATAGAATGATATGCGGCCCCGTTATGATTAACTATAATTAATCATTATTTTCAGTAACTCCCATAATGAAGATTATGGAGATTAAAGATATACCTTTGGCACAAAGATGACGAGAGGTGCTTTCTTTTTTTTTTTCTCTCTTTTAGCAATTAACATTGTGAAATTTGTATTTTTAATTTTCTTTCTTTTTTTCTACATATTCCTGTATATAATTAGGATTGATATAACACTAATCTGTTTTGTAAAACATTTGACTTATCTTTTATTTTCAGTAGTTTCAAACTCAACAAAATGCGTAACAATGATGTTATATAATCAAATGTTAAGAAAGAGATAATACAGGTTTCTTAAACATGGAAAAGTTCCTTCTGTTTTCAATAAATTTTGTTTATTTTAAATTTTTTTTAAATTGATTTAAAATCTGTTTTAATGTTTATTTCAAATAAAAACTTCTATAATATTTCTACTTTTTTTTTTTTTTATCAGTATGCGATTTTAAATCAGTTTCCTGAATATTTGTCTGTAATATATTCGTACTTCAAGAACATGTAAATGTATATTCCATTTTTTTGTTCTTTTGTTTCTTTAGTAAAATGTGTTTCCCATTTTTAGCTTTGTGTATAAAATACCTTAAATATCTTGCAATATGTATATATATTAACAGATATATTGCATCAATGTAAGTTAATACATTGAGAAATGAGATTTATATAAATATAGATCTTGAAGTTTTATCAATTGTTTTAGCAAAAACCTCTTGCTCTTTTTGCTATTATTGAATGCTTTATTTAAAAAATAAACAAGAAGAATAATTTTCAATTTTATAAGAATCCAACATGATCTTGAAAAATAATTGAACTCTGCTTTAATAATATACATAATTAATTGCCTTTAAAAATGTCAGTTTTTTAATATACAGGAAGAATGTGTTACATATGTATGTGTGGATGTGAAAAAAAAAGAGAAAAGAAGAGAGAGAGTAAAGATAAATTGGAAAGTTACTCGTTGTTAATGGTGTTACGAATGTTGCATATCTTGAATTAGTTTTTTAAATAACACTAATAATGTATTGATAATCTATTGATTTTTAATATATATACAGTTTCATCAAGTTTCTATGAAGTTTACACATAGAAATTTACAAATAGTTCTTAATTAAATTGTATTAAATATTAAGAATTGATTATAATTTATATTACATTTAAATCTAAAAAAGAAAAATAAAGTGACTTTAAAACGATCTGTTGAGAAAACAGTTTGTTTTAATAAATTTAATAAATTGTTGATTGATAATCAGTTTTTAGAGAAATATTTAAAAAAAAAAACATAGTGCTCGTTATACAATTGAATTTTATCAATAGTTCTTTAGTGTTAGATTGAAAACTTTTATTCTTATAATAATCTATTTTATCATCATAAATAGCACTTAATGTGCAATGTGTTTTTAACCACGATCTTTCAGATATTTTCATTGTTTTTCAAATTGATTTATTTTTATATTTGATGATTGAATTCTGTTCAAAATCGTTGCAATACATTTTAGGGATGGCAATACGATTTTAACCAAAAGAATTTTTTAACAATCGTTAGTGGGTCCGCATAT